CAGGAAGAAATCAGTTTGTCTCAAGGTCTGTCGCTTCACTCTTCCTGTGGAGTCTAATTCACTCTTCAGGATTTGCTCAGAATTTGCTTCAGAATTTGCTCCCCACCTTCTTCTTTGCCCCAAGATTCTATACATTCACATTTCGACTACAAATTGTTGAGAGACAGACTTATTGTTGCTTAACACTGTCATCTTCCTGAAAGTACAATTCTGCACTGGGTAAGGATAAGCAAGTCAGAGTTTTCTGGTGTGAGTAGAGAAATATGAGTAAGCAGGAAACTTCTTATGTATTAAGAACCAGAAAACTAACAGTATCAGAATAGGCATGGCTGATGTCTCTCAGGGTACCTCAACTACTTCTGGTTCAGCACTGCTTCTCCACAGATGCATAACAGTGAAACACAATAAACCAACACGAAGTGAAAAAATGAAAACATCAAGAATGCTTTTTTTCCTAAATATAATGAGGTGATCATGTTGTGTGCTTCCTTGTGTTAATGTGACACAGTATGTCTGCTGATCTATGTTCCACAATTCTCACATGAAAACTATTTTATGATCATTGCATACAATTCCCTCTTGGTGGTATTTTATTAAAGTTGCTAAATTCTGAGATACTTACATCAACTTGCTTTAGGAATGTTGATTTTTTTTTTTTTTTTTTTTTGGTTTTTGTTTCTTTTTCAGTGTCCTTCTCTATGTTTGAAGTAGTATAATAGTGGCAATTTACAATGTATGTGGAAGAATCTTCCCCTTCCCACTTTGGAACAGTTTTGGAAAAATAGATATTAGCTCATTGTTAAAAGCTTAAGAAAAATTCATCAGTGACACTTTCTGGACATGGGTCTTTCTTTGATACAGATTTTTATTACTAACTCAATCTCTTACTTGTTATTGGTCTTTTCAGGTACCTAATTTTTGTGATGCAATCTTGGTAGGCTGTATGCATACATAAATTTATTTACTTTGTCTAAGTTTGCTCTGAGAAGGGAAGAAAGAAAAAAAAAGAAGTGAGATAGAGCTAAAACTACGTCCCATGGAACAGGGAGCAATTTGCCAACCTGCAAGTCCTGGGAAGCAGCACCAATGATGACACAAGGACATTGGAGATATTCCCATACAGGAATTGAAAAATAGCAAAAGTAATATTCAAATATATGCTTTGATATACAACTCCTTGATCAGTATATGGCTTTGCACTTTAGACGTATGAGAATTAAAGAATCAATGATTAGTCCACTTGAAAGAAGCAGTGACCAATTTTGCCATGGTGTTGTACTTTGGCAGTATATGGAAAAAAAACCACACAACTGATCTTAATTTCCAGAATTGGGGCTTTCTTAGATGTCAGAATTTTATTATTACCAACATCTCATTATTTGTCCTTGGTTTCTTCAACTTTCTAATTCTTTGTGATGCCAATCTTGGTAGGTTGTACACATACATAAATTTATCTAATTTACCTAAGTTTGCCCTGGAAAGAAAGAAGAAAGAAAGGAAATGGAGCTTAAAAACTCTTCCTATGGGACAGTGAGCCATTCTCCAAATGGAAACTTCTAGAGAAGTAACACCACTGTTTACACCAGGGAAATGGTCCCAGAAAGGATTCTGAAAGCAATGTATGTAACATAGAATACACACTCTGATATATACATCTTTGATTTTATGTGCCTTGTCATTCTAAAATTTTACATTTATAATGATTAAAGAGCCAAAGTTTATCCCACATTAAGGAAGCCTTGATGAGAGAGAAGACAAAAATTAATCCTGTATTTTCCTTAGGAAATGGGTGAAAAAACTGACACTAAGTAAGAAAAGGCAGGGAGATGTTGTGGGATTATTTGTGTTCAAACTGGACTACACATGGAAACAACAACTTTAATAGATGATTTAGTCCAATCATGGCTGCAAATGTAGCCATAATCTAGTGTCTGTCATAATTACAAGAAGAAAACATTTGGACACACCACAGAGAGACAGGCAAGATTTATGTGTCCAGAGGAGGCCCCATTCTGGGTTTTGTTTTGTTTTGTTTTTTGTCTTTTTCTTTTTTATCGGTACTGGGGATCAAACTCACGACCACACACTTGCAAGGCAGGCACTTATGCCACTAAGCTTGACTTAGCTTGTCAGCCCCTAGAAACCCCATCCTGGACACAGCAAGGAGGTGACATTCTGGAAGCCATGAAGTTTCTGACAACAATGAAACTGCTGCCACCTGAACGTTGGACTTCTAGCTTCTGAACATGTGTTAGGGTAAGTTTCTGGTTTTTATACCACAGAGTCTGTGAATCTCTTCTTTTTCTTTCTAGCTCTTTTGTCTTTTTTTTTTTTTGTAGGCACAGAAAACTAATATGAGAGATAGAAGAGTTGATGATGTGGAAATGAAAAGATCATATCGTGGCATATTAACTTTGAAATACATAATAAAATAAAAGTATGACTGAAGGTGTTCCTCTCACCTCAGTGGGCTCCAGCTGCCTGCCTGCCACAGGGTTCTCATTCCTTCCAAACCATTCTCCACAACTGATTGTTTTCTTCTCTGGTCAGGTTAGACTGTTATGATTGCATCTAGTGAATCCACAATGATATTTTCCTTTCATGCTATATTAATCTCCTCATTTGTTGCGGACATTATTGAGCGTCAGAGAAAGGTCTTGTACTGGATGACATTTCACAGAATCAGAGGCTCTATTCAAGGACCAGTAAGTCAAGGACAAGGCTGACTTCCCTGGACTGCCGCTTTTGCTGCTCCTGACAAAATAAGAACACATTGGCCTGACTCTATCTTTTGTGCCTTTTCACTGACCTTCCCTTTCTATCTGAAGTTCTACCATATGCTGTCTGATCAAATTGTTCATTTTCAGGCCACCTCTGCGGACATTTATGGAGTTGAGTCATGAATATGAGACTAACTTGAGCTAGAGTCAAAAACTGCTTGAAACAAAGAACAACACATTCATATCCATGCCCAGGTAAAAATACTCAGGTTATCATGTTGCAAGAGTCACATCTTCTGCAGTAAATCCCATTGTCTAGGAGGCTTCCAGGAAAAGTACTTTCAATCCTATAGAAAGCCTCAGGAGAAATGGAATGCACACTGTACAAGGGACCTATGTTTAGGATTTCAAAGCACATGGCTCTGTATGCCATATCTCCAAAGAAACTGTCCTCAAGTTATGTACAGCCTGTGCTAACCATTACATAGGACCAACAAATGATATAAAGTGATGACAGACACCTAATTTTACTGACTTATTTGCATTTTTATGAAAGGATGTACAAGTAAACACTGGTTGTATGAGCATGCATACCACTTCACAAGAGAGCTACCAGTTTAGGTATCAAATAGACCTTTGAAAATACATGTAGTATGTTATCAATGTTTTAAAATAAGAATGAATAAGAATGCCCAACATGGTGGCATATGTCAGGACTTGTAAATATATTAAAGCCAGGGACAGGAGGGTGGATTGCAAGTTTGGGGTCAGCCTGGATAATTTAGTGAGCCCTTAACTCAAAATAAAAATTGGAAAGGGCTTGGGATGTACCACAGGATATATAGATTCAACATTAATACTACTACACACAACTTTTGGTGCACATATATATGATATGCATGGTATAAATATGATTTAGAGAAAATAAATAAAGCAATTACCCACAAATAAATGGATAAAAGAGGAGAAAAACAGAGCAGAGACTAATTCAGAATAAAAAGCAATGAGAGAGATTAGCATGAATAGAACATTGCAGGCAACATTTTCTGGGTTGAAGAGGAAGCTGAGAAATATCACAGGTTCCTCCAGTAAAACAGAATTGGAGGGCAATGCGGTGGAGTCTTAAAAGGCAGAGTCAACTACCTGATTCCAGTAGATACTTGTGGTCAAACAAGAACTAGTGGCAGTTATCCAAATATTTCCTGCACAAAAGAAGGCCCAAGCTCGATCTCACAGAATATGCAGGAAAGGGAAAGGAATGTGAAAAAATTCATGGAAATCCAAAATAGCAGGGTTCATGCTAAGGAATGTATTTTCATGTTCCTCATCTGTGCAAATGCTGTGGGACCTCTATGAATGTATTCAAAATAGTAACTCACAAGGCTACTAAGAACTGAATGATTCACTTTCTCTGTTTCTTCAACAAGACTTTCATGCTGACAGTGAGCACCAGAAAACCTTGGCAAATATTCAGGAGCACGAGTATGAACAGTCTGGGGATCAAACTTGTGTTACACTGGTCGAAATATGCTGCCTGAATGCATTACAGAGTTGAACATAAATGACATGTGTAACCAGAAATCTTGGAAACATACATTCTAGAGCACACATATCATGATCCATGGAGTTTCAGTGTAAATTTTTTTTTTTTTTTGGTCTTCTTCGTTTTTATCAGTACCAGGGATCAAACTCACGACTGCCTCCTTGCAAAGCAGGCGCTTAGGCCGCTGAGCTAAATCCCCAGCCCCTCACTGTAAAATCTTTAAGAATACTGATCACCTTCAGCTTGGGCTTCAAAGTGACTACTAACACACACACATCTGGTGGGCACATGGACCCTCCTCCAATCAGACACAAACACAAGCATACACACACACACACACACACACACACACACACACACACACACAGCTGAAAAAAAGGAGTTACATTAAAAGTTACAATAAAAGTTACATTCTCACTGAAAAGCCTGAAATTCAAATATCAATTAAAGTTTAAATATACTATCCAAGTTTAATGTTTATGCACTATTCCCTTCATTCTTTAGGGCTGGCTTGTATTGAATCTCTTAGATCTGTGACAGTGACAAACTTCACCCCACCACATCCTTGTGGGCCATGGTCCCAGAGAAGAGTCAGGGATGCAAAGCATCCTAGACAGTCACATGTGCAATCCAAAGAACATAGAGCCAATGCTGCTATTGTTCTGCTTCTCTTTATAAAGCCAGCTTCGTCCTTTCCCCAGGACAGACCTGGGAGCCTCCCCAGAGCCTCCTGCAAGATGCTGGTGGTCCTGCTGACAGCGGCCCTGCTGGCCCTGAGCTCGGTTCAGAGCTCAACTCAAGGTACAAGAAATGGGCTTGAGGTTGTGATATGATCCTGCCTGGGACTCAGGAGACCACATTGCTCAACGAGAGGGGAGAAGGGAGAGCAGGAGATGAGAAGGAACACTGGGATGTAGAGTTCTTAGAACAGTTGTAAGTTATGTCTGTGTTACTCTTCAATGCTTAGACTTTCTTTAAGGCACAATTGTAATATCATTAAATGGGATAGGGGAATAATAAGGTAGTTAATTAATGCATGCTAAGTTGTTTCTGTGCTATACCTCAAGGAAGGAATGATAGATGACAACACTGCACAGGGAAGTCCAGTTGTGAACTTATGATTGGAATCACAGTGGATAGTGAAAGCTGGTGTGGTGGCCCACACCTGTAATCTGAGCACTCTGGGAGGCTGCTGAGGAGGACTGCAGTGAGTCTGAGGTCAAAATGGGCTTCACGAAGAAGTCAAGATCAGGCTGGATAACACAGGGAGACATGCTGTGAAAAAGATTAGAAAGCTGGCACCCTTGCCACATGTTATATCAAGGACAGAGGAGAGAGACAAACACACATCAAGAGAGAAACTTGGATAGTAAATTTGACTCTCTCTGCAATACACATACAAAGATCAGGCCCCAAGATGATCATTTTTCCAGCATCCACTCACAGTATGTCATTAGCTCTTTGAGCAGAATGGACATGGGTACATCCAAACATTTACTCTGGGCATTTCCTTTTGAGAAGGCAAGGTAAGTTTAATATTTTAGTTTTTAAAGGAAGGAAAAACAACAGTAAAAGTCAAAGTCAGGCTACCTGATTCCCGTGGATCTGGAGCACTGACATGCTCAGAAGACTTAACACAAAAGAGCAAAGAAGCAAGAGAAATCCTAGGAAGGATCAATTGAATTTAAGGCTGCCCTTAGCAGAGCAAGAACCCTGGGGTCTCCTTGAAACTCCACAGCAGGTCCCAGGTAAGTGTTCAGCAGCACAACAGGGGAAGTGGGAAGACTTCATGCAGAGAATGTGCAGGCTCAAACTGGAAGTCACCTGTCCCCATAGGACATTTTTCAACCTTGAAAGGCTTGTGACTCATTTAGCATTAATCTTACTTCTCAGAGCTCATCTATGACTTTTCTTCCACCAAACTAGCAGGAAAGGTCAAGTTCATCCTCAGTCAACATTCTCTTCCCAGGTTTCCTTGGGAGATTTTCAGGGCTCCATCATTATATTGCCCTTGATTTATACATGGAAGGAGTGAATGTTAGTTTCCTGAAATGCATAGGAACAACTTTACCACTAACTATGATTCAAGTGACCTCAAGCAGGGCAACCAACCTGAAAAGCAGAGAAGCTTACATCAGTGAGTAAGTGGAGGCCACTTCCCTTCCCCTGGAAGACACAACTGCACAAGGGGACCCACAAACAGGAAGTGTACTGATTTTGTGTCCTCCTTGATACTAACAGTCACTCAACGCTTTCATTCTTGCCTGATGCTACTCTCTAGAATCCTAAGGATTTAGGATGGAATGCGCAGTAATGTGTCTGGGGCCCTTTTCTTTGCATTTTTCTCTACTACACTCTGTCTCGACAGCTGGTAACAATTCATCAAAGCATTTCCATGAATCCTGTGTGGCTAGCGCTCGCTCGCTCTCTCTCTCTCTCTCTCTCTCTCTCTCTCTCTCTCTCTCTCTCAGAATCTCACTTCCTGGATTTAGGGCCTCAGAAAATAGATCCATTTTCAACATAGGATTCAGGTGGCCTGTCTTGTATTCAAAAACAATATTTTATGATATCTGCATATAGAGCTGGCTGGCAAATTGACATTGATAATCCCTTCATGTTGTTTCTGTCACATCTTTGGAGACATTCTGAGTAATTGTACAGTATTGAAAACCTTGTTTCTGCAAATGTAAGGACAGCTACTTGCTCCAGACTCTTGAAACCAGGCATTGATACAGTAGGTGTATAGCTTTCGAGGAGTTCCTCATGCAGAGGCAGAAGATTGAAGATGGAAAGCCGCAAATGATCAAAATAGGCTACACATAATGGCAGAATTGTGTTCGCAAACGACATAAAACTGTATAACAAAAATACACCAAACACTAGAAAAGTAGGAATGAAAAAGGGGGAAGAAGGGAGACTGGCAAATGGGAGTAATTTCTGGGAGAAAAGTACTGTGTGACATGATCAGACTGCAATGCAAGAAGAGTCTCACCTGAAATGTTAATCCCTACTTTTTCTTTGTCACCAAACATGTAGAGCAACAAGGTCCACCACCACAAGGTCAGCGGCCTCCTCCCGGTCCTCCTCCTCCTCCTCCTCCTCCTCCTCCTCCTGGAGGTGAGCAGGCACCAGAAGGAGATCAACAAAATGTCCATACTCGTTCCTTGAAAAAACCTGGCCCACCACCACCAGGCCAGGGGCCTCCTCGCCCTCCTCCTCCTCCTCCTCCTCCTGGTAGTGAGCAGGCACCCGAAGAAGGAGAGCAGCAAGATCGTCTCACTCGCTCCTTGAAGAAACCAGGCCCACCACCACCACCAGGCCAGGGGCCTCCTCGCCCTCCTCCTCCTCCTCCTCCTCCTCCTCCTGGTAGTGAGCAGGCACCCGAAGAAGGAGAGCAGCAAGATCGCCTCACTCGTTCCTTGAAGAAACCAGGCCCACCACCACCAGGCCAGGGGCCTCCTCGCCCTCCTCCTCCTCCTCCTCCTCCTCCTCCTCCTCCTGGTAGTGAGCAGGCACCTGAAGAAGGAGAGGAGCAAGACCGCCTCACTCGTTCCTTGAAGAAACCAGGCCCACCACCACCAGGCCAGGGGCCTCCTCGCCCTCCTCCTCCTCCTCCTCCTCCTCCTCCTCCTGGTAGTGAGCAGGCACCTGAAGAAGGAGAGGAGCAAGACCGCCTCACTCGTTCCTTGAAGAAACCAGGCCCAAAACCACCAGGCCAGGGGCCTCCTCGCCCTCCTCCTCCTCCTCCTCCTCCTCCTGGTAGTGAGCAGGCACCTGAAGAAGGAGAGCAGCAAGACCGCCTCACTCGTTCCTTGAAGAAACCAGGCCCAAAACCACCAGGCCAGGGGCCTCCTCGCCCTCCTCCTCCTCCTCCTCCTCCTCCTCCTCCTGGTAGTGAGCAGGCACCTGAAGAAGGAGAGCAGCAAGATCGCCTCACTCGTTCCTTGAGGAAACCAGGCCCACCACCACCAGGCCAGGGGCCTCCTCGCCCTCCTCCTCCTCCTCCTCCTCCTCCTCCTCCTCCTGGTAGTGAGCAGGCACCTGAAGAAGGAGAGCAGCAAGACCGCCTCACTCGTTCCTTGAAGAAACCAGGCCCAAAACCACCAGGCCAGGGGCCTCCTCGCCCTCCTCCTCCTCCTGGTAGTGAGCAGGCACCCGAAGAAGGAGAGGAGCAACTTCGCCTCACTCGTTCCTTGAGGAAACCAGGCCCACCACCACCAGGCCAGGGGCCTCCTCGCCCTCCCCCTCCTCCTCCTCCTCCTCCTCCTCCTCCTGGTAGTGAGCAGGCACCTGAAGAAGGAGAGCAGCAAGACCGCCTCACTCGTTCCTTGAAAAAACCTGGCCCACCACCACCAGGCCAGGGGCCTCCTCGCCCTCCTCCTCCTCCTCCTCCTCCTCCTGGTAGTGAGCAGGCACCCGAAGAAGGAGAGGAGCAACTTCGCCTCACTCGTTCCTTGAGGAAACCAGGCCCACCACCACCAGGCCAGGGGCCTCCTCGCCCTCCCCCTCCTCCTCTTCCTCCTCCTCCTCCTCCTGGTAGTGAGCAGGCACCTGAAGAAGGAGAGCAGCAAGACCGCCTCACTCGTTCCTTGAAGAAACCTGGCCCACCACCACCAGGCCAGGGGCCTCCTCGCCCTCCTCCTCCTCCTCCTCCTCCTCCTCCTCCTGGTAGTGAGCCGGCACCTGAAGGAGAGCAGCAAGATCGCCTCACTCGTTCCTTGAGGAAACCAGGCCCACCACCACCAGGCCAGGGGCCTCCTCGCCCTCCTCCTCCTCCTCCTCCTCCTCCTCCTCCTCCTCCTGGTAGTGAGCAGGCACCCGAAGAAGGAGAGCAGCAAGATCGCCTCACTCGCTCCTTGAAGAAACCAGGCCCACCACCACCAGGCCAGGGGACTCCTCGCCCTCCTCCTCCTCCTCCTCCTCCTCCTCCTGGTAGTGAGCAGGCACCTGAAGAAGGAGAGCAGCAAGATCGCCTCACTCGTTCCTTGAAGAAACCAGGCCCACCACCACCAGGCCAGGGGCCTCCTCGCCCTCCTCCTCCTCCTCCTCCTGGTAGTGAGCAGGCACCTGAAGAAGGAGAGCAGCAAGACCGCCTCACTCGTTCCTTGAAGAAACCAGGCCCAAAACCACCAGGCCAGGGGCCTCCTCGCCCTCCTCCTCCTCCTCCTCCTCCTCCTGGTAGTGAGCAGGCACCCGAAGAAGGAGAGCAGCAAGATCGCCTCACTCGTTCCTTGAGGAAACCAGGCCCACCACCACCAGGCCAGGGGCTTCCCCGTCCTCCTCCTCCTCCTCCTCCTCCTCCTCCTCCTCCTCCTGGTAGTGAGCAGGCACCTGAAGAAGGAGAGCAGCAAGATCGCCTCACTCGCTCCTTGAAGAAACCAGGCCCACCACCACCAGGCCAGGGGCCTCCTCGCCCTCCTCCTCCTCCTCCTCTTCCTCCTGGTAGTGAGCAGGCACCTGAAGAAGGAGAGCAGCAAGATCGCCTCACTCGTTCCTTGAGGAAACCAGGCCCACCACCACCAGGCCAGGGGCCTCCTCGCCCTCCTCCTCCTCCTCCAAACCAGCAAGGATCTTAAGGACAATCACTGCAGTAATCTGGATATCCACGGCAGGTATGTTCCTGATGTACCTTCCAGCTTGCCTTGCACTTCCTGCCTGTCTCTCAGTTTAGGGTGATAGAAATCAGCTGAAATCTTGTGGAAATTCGCTAATCACCAAGAACGTATGTGGATGTCATTTCCAAAATCTTCTGCTTCGGCTTCTCGGGCAGGGTGGCCATATCTAGTTGATTTTGTAAGCTGTTCTGGTCATTCAACTTCAAGCATCACTGTTTTGCAATTTCCACTTTCCAAGAGATTATCCGGCTGAAGTTTTTTTGCTTTGTGGCAAGATATCATTATTTTCCTTTTCATCTTTCTTCTGTTACTCAGAAATTAGTGAGGTCCCTCTTGTGTCTGCCTCACCCACTCTTTGCTGATGCCTGCCCTTCCTCACACTCGCAGAACCAGTACTTCTGCTTCTCTTATCATGAACAACCTCATAGTTATGTGCTAATTTTTATGTTACTCTTCACATTAAATCATTTCTTAGAAAGTGTTCACATTGCTCCATAGATTCATGGACCGCTTCAGATCTTCTTGTTTTCAATTTTGTGTATTCCTTTTTCTAAATTCTCCAATGCTGTATTAGTCCAGTGTGCAGTACTCCAGATTTTCTTTAACCAATCCATTGTCACTGGACATTTAAGCTGCTTTCAGTTTTCATCATTGTAGAACAGTATGCACTAAGCATTTCTACAAGTTTGTAACTTGAACATCTGTGATAGAAATCGATAGATCAACAACCTAAGAGCAGTTTTTTCCCTCCATCTTACCAGCAACAAGTTGGTGCCCATTATCTGGTAGGTGCTTAAGAAGAGTGAAGAAAAGATATTTGGTAGGAAGGAAGGGAGGGGAAGGAAAGAGGGAGAGGGATGTGCTGTCACCCATATGGTTCCAGTGAGCCCAGCAAGGGGTGAGAAACTTCCTGCCATGGCCATTTAGATAAAATTTTTCTTATGCTTTTGTTTATCTGTTTGTTTATTTGTGTGTTTCAGAAAAGGAATGACAAGATGGCATCCACCAGTTACCAACGTCTTTGGAACAATGTCATCATATCCCTGTCTTCCCTGTCCCAATAAAATCATCAGCATGCACTTCCTGACTGCTGTCTGTCTGTCTCCCTCCCTACCGCCCTTGTTCTGGTTAAGGAGTAGTTTGGATTTTGAGGGCCACAAGGACTCAAAATGAGAACACCAGGACCCCTTCTCACTGGTTTCCCCAGCGAGCTTCCCTCTTGGATCCACAGGGCTGCTGTCATGTGAAACGCTTCTGCTGTTCCCAACTTTCCCCAATTCTATAAGACATGCTCAAGTTTTTAGTTATTACCACACGTTTTACTAAAGTTGTAGTATTTTTAGGGAAACAAAGATAATATTAGATATCTGAGGAAGTTTCTGAAACTGAGGAGTCCTCCACATTTCCAAATTATATGGATCCTGCTTTCTAGGAAAATTCATGTTGTTCTAGGCCTCTTGTCCCCAGAATACTTGCTGCTCAATCCTAGCCCTCCCTACTTCCTCTGCCATGGTTTGTTAAATTTTGATGGACTGTATATAAGAGGGGCAGCTTGATGGATATTAAGAGGCAAGGAAGGTCCTTCCTGCTTGGGTTTAAGCCCTCACTCTTGTTTCTCTTGCTAGTTCTGGACTCTTAGCAAAATGCTTAGTACTCTCAAAGCCTCAGTTTCTCAACTATGAAATGAAGGTACCAACAATGACTTCCTTAAAAGTGAAGGTCAAAGAAGTGATAAACATTAAAGGCATAACAGAGGTTGCCTTCCCAACTTCTTCCTAATTAGTTTAGGATAGAACAATAGACAAAAGCTGTAAAGAATTAAATGGTTCCAGGTTTAAATTTCAAGATTACTTTCTCAGATATCAAACTATTACTATTGAATTACTGATGATATATAATCCCAACACTCACAGTTGGAAGGGCAAGAGTTTTTTGTGGACTTACACTTGCAGTCCATGGATGGCTGACTCCAAAGCAGAAATAGCACAATGGAAGGGCTTTCCACTGTCAGCTCTTCTCATCATGGTGGCCAAGAAGCAGAGTGAAGGGGAAAACTAAGGAGGTATATGTACACATCTCGTTATGCCCTAAGTCGTTATGCTGCCTCTTGTGACCATGCCCCACTTAAAAACAATACACTCTTCCACATACCTGGTTACTCCCCCATGATCCAGCTGCCTTCCAAGCCCATGAGTCTTTCAGTACCATTTTAGTTCTCACGTGGCAAAATCCCTTGCCCACCAGGGAATATACAGATTTCTCTATACTAATGTCCCTCCACTCCATCCAACTAGTCCTGTTAATTGTTCTCTCCTAATATACCTCAATTCTTTTTTTAATTTTCCAAGTATTTTAATTTTTAAATTTTATTTTAGCTAAATAACATTGGTAAAGGAAATAAGTTAGAGCTCCAACCCTCCACAGTCCCATGACTTATCCCAAGTTACACCGATCATAAAAACAACATTAATATCAAGATAGCTGAACCAACAAACTACCAACATAAAGTCCCAAAATAGATACTCACATTTGATTTCTGGCAAAGATGCAGAAGCAATTAAGTGGAGAAGGGATTGTGCCCTGAGTAATTACACTGGAACAACTGGAAAAACCCCAAAACTTATAGCACATCAAAAATTTCTTAAGTGTGAGGGTAGGTCCTCCTTTAAAGTCTTATTGTTTAATCACCCTGATTGGAGTGTGTGCTGCCTCCCTTTCAAGTGAAAAGGATGTGATGCTCCCTGTGATATTAGTTACCAAGGGACCCTGACTTCTACTGTGGTTGTGCTTTGCTGCTCTTTCTTGAGTTGCAACTTGGTCCCTTATGTATCTGCTTGGGGGCAGTGAAACTAGTTTCAATGTTTTAAGGAAGGTCAGCTTATGAATCTGTCCATTTGTTAAGGATCAGAGGTCATGTCCAACACACATGAGTGGTATGAACATGTATCACTCTCCTTTGCCTGCAGTCCTGGCTAAATTGTTGACTGTAACCTCAGCAAGCACCTTGAGTAATAATCAGTCACTAAAGCTCCCTCATGTGCCAAACACACTCAAACTGTAAAGAAATAGATGTCCTTTTAGGGGGATAAACTTCTGACTAGCAACAAGTAATCCAAACAAGAATCTATTTCCCATTAATATCTTGGGTCTTTCAAAGCAACAACCCTGAAAGAGATGCAAAGAAAACCTCTTCAGTTAGTGAGAGCATAGACATTTCTTTCTTTTGGTGTATATTTTAGTCACTGCAGAGCAGGTATCTGTGTGGGCTGTTGTCATCTATGGCAGATGGGTGTCAAGCCACGAAGAGAATAGTATTTGTTTCACCAAATGAATGGATAGAGAATTCCCCAAGTTATTCCATGGGAAGACTATTCGTGATGTGTAGAGATACATACTTAAGAACTTGTAACCCAAATTATGCAGCACAGAAGTAAGAAATACTATTCTTTAAATGTAGTGTATTTGTGTTCCTGGAGTCTAACCCATTGCATATTTGGTGATAAGGAATTTGGAGATAGGATATTAAAGCAATACATTTTTGAGACAAGGAAGTTATAGGAAGAATGGAATCATAAGGAGAAGACTTTACAACATCTTATCCTCAAAGCTGAAAAACATAAGAGACAAGAAGAATATGGAGGATGGTCAATGCTAAAGCCATCGAATGATCCTAGAAAATACAACCTTTGGTGAATTAACCAAAAACAAATGTTTAAATACCACTGAGGAGTGAGATATACTCTTCATGTAATGCCCTCAGTGGTTTTGTGACAAAAAAGTTAAATATAAATAGTCTGATACCATCTTAAGACAAGGCATGCTCACCAGTCTACCACATAGACCATTAGACTCTGTTAACCTTGAGTGACCATGACAGCTGCAGTTTAGAGATAGGCTGACCTGGCTCAATCTCACCACACCTGTCTGTACTGCCCATACTGTGTGACGTACAAACGTACGCTATTTCTGAGGACTGTCCAACTGATACAGCCCAGTCAAAGACATGCTGAACCCCACCTGCCAAGCTTAGCACCCCCTTTTCTAGACCTTCACCACCTCATAATGGACAATTAACTCATATAAGCAATTATATGATAGCACGCTATTAGCTTTCATAATTCTTGCTTACAAAATAGATGTAAGTTTCTGTGTCAGTCTCAGTCAGGAATAATGATTTGGTACTGATTCCTACCTGCCTGCTAGCGTGATACACCATTGCCTTCCAAACTCTTTAGTTCAAGGGCCTTCCTTTTGGTTCAGTACCACATTTCTGCAAAATTTCTTGGAGTTTTGGCTGGGAAGACACCATTCTTACCAGTTTGGCTCACTGATGGAGGCTTGTTGGTAGCAGCAGAGACTCACCCAACCTGCACATGAGAAGAGTCATCCTCCCGTTCTTTTCTCATAGTGTCCTCAGAGGTCAAGGAGTAGAGCCTCTGTATGACAGCAGAGACCTTGCTGGATCAGTGGGAAGAGGCAGAACATGACTGGTTCTAGCCCTCAGACAAGGTATCACCACCCTGGAACATGCATACTGATTCTATTAGTCTGTCAGATGGTGTTCTCTTTGTGAGGATGAAAGATAAACTTGATCACACCTCTCCTGTGTTAGACAGGTCAGTCAGATTCAATTTCAGTCAGTCCTCATCTCTGGAATTTGAAGCTGAAGTGTGCGGGCTTCTGTGTGCCTGCATATGAATGTGTGTATGAATACTTACAAAATAAAATGTGTAAAGTCCAAGGTACCTGGACTCAGCTGAGAAAAGGGGAAAAAGTGGCCTCAGCAGTCTAAAAACAAAAGCAATGTTAAAGTTTGGTTTTTGCTGCAATGGATTAAAAACATGAAAAAGCTGATTAGCTTTCATACACCAAGATATAGCAATTGGGTTATGCAGATAGACTAATTAAAACAAGAGAGGGGCAGAACTACTAGAAAGCCAGCTGGCCCAATGACTAAACTG